AAAAAAAAAAAAATAAATAAATAAATAAATAAATAAATAAAAAAATAAATAAATAAAAAAATAAAAAATAAAAATATGTAATAATAAAATAAAGTAAATAAAAGTAGATAAATAAATAAAAACAAGCACATAATATAATAAATGCAATGTGAAATGCAGTAGTACTAGTAATACTCAGGACTAGCATTGTTTTAGTTACCATATGAGAGTTTCCTGTGTTAAAAACATGATTTACTATACTATACTATAAGTCTGTATATTATCGGTACCTGGAACAGTAACAACACGAAAGTACTATATGCTACTGCACTGTAATGCATAGACCTATTTTAATACACTTTTTTTTTTCATCTTGATTTCAGAGGTCAAAAACATTTTTCACATTAGACCAACCCGCCCTCGATAAACTAACGTTAGATTTTCGGCGATCTTCTGATCTGTGCGTTACCATGGTGTTCCTATTAAAAACCCATTTAGCACTGTTGCTTTCAAGGTGTTTGGGAGTGTTTGTCAAAAACCTCATTGACCAATAAACGCGTAGTTGAAATCGTGACGTTGCCATCTCTGGTAAGAGAGCAGTGACCGGAAATCTGTGACGTAGCGTCACTCTCAGTATTTCAGTATTTATTTCAGTATTTATTGAACTCACTTTTAGATCAGTGGCACACACCTAGCAAGGTGGTGCGTCCATACAATATACATAAAATGAACAAAATGTAAAACGATCTTACAAGAAAATTAAAGATAAAGAGATTTAAAAAAAAAACAACTTAATTAACTTAATTAACAAATTAATATAAATGTAAAATTAAACAATAAGCTTAATGATGTAAAAAAAAAGAATCAAATTCAAATATGCAGTAAGCAGTGTAATTATCGAACAGAGTAGTAATGACACAGTTTGAGAAAGGTATACATTTTATCGGTTACAAGATTCTTTACAGCAAAATAAATAGAATAAAATAAAAGATACATGATGAAATGTAAAACAAATTGAAACATCGGCTCCTCTTACCCCCTCCCCCCAAACTGTAGATTACCCAAAATTAATTACATGAAGTAAAATTCAAAGTGCAAATCATAGCAAAGTTCGCAACAAAAGAAAAAGTTAAAAAAACAAATGGGATCAAAGAATCAAACACAGAATTTAACAAAAAAAAAAAAAAAAAACTTTAGGGTAAATAAAAAAAAATAAAGTACTTATCTAAGTTTAAAATGTACTGTAAATTAAAACATAAAACCACAATACCGTAGTAAGCAAATTTTCTACAGTACCGTATTTTTACATTTAGTAATTATTCTTCAGTTCAAATTTGGGGGGGTTTTCTTGTAAAAGTCTGTTCGGGCTTCCCAAGCCTTCTGTAAATATGTTTTGCAGCAGGTGTCAACAAAGAATGAAAATCATTCATCAAGAATTAGGTCAGTCTTAAGGCTTTCAAAACATTCCTCTCTTAATTCATTTAAACTATTACATTCTAGTATGAAGTGTACTATAGTTTCTTTAGTGTTGTCATTACACAGTTTACATATCCCCGAATTTGTAGGCGACCAGACTTCTTTTCTACCCTCGAGGTTTAGCATATTCGAGCGAGCTTGAAATTTTAGACTACTTCGTTTAAAGTCGGTTTGGTCAAGAAGATATGGTTCAAGCAATGGTTTTTCTTTATACATATTATAATATAGTAATGAGGATTTTGATTGTGCTCTTTTTTGCCATTATTTATTGTCGTTGTTTATAATTTCAACTTTTAACTTTAGTGACCAGTTAAAACTCGGTTCATTATATAGTATGTCTTCCATATTACATTTTTTTAAAGTTCCTCGGACTTGATTTAACCATCCCCATTTCAATTGTTTGTCAACCAATTTTATTGCATTAAATAAAATTTTTTGTCCATCTACTATCATCCATTATCTGTAAGCGATATAGATATTTAACACGCGAGTAATTATGTAATGATTCAATTGACTGTCACCCTAGATCACCGTAGAGTGCTTCCTTGGCAATGTTTCGCGGTGCTTTTAGAATGCTTCTTGCCATTAAATATTGCAAATTTTCAACTTTTGCCTTTGCTATTTTACCGTTACAAAACCAAATCGAACAAGCGTAGTTAATTGTGGGGATTCCAATGGACTTCCATAATAGATCCCCGTAGTATACCCTATTGAAATCATCTTGTTCATTTATGATTGATTTAATGTATGTAATTACGCGATTGCCCTTTTTAACTACTTCATTGATGTGAGAATTGTCAGACATCGTACGTGAGATTATCACACCTAGATATCTGTATTTTTCAGTTTCAGATATGTAACTGTCACCTAACCTCCATTTTTTATGTATATTGACTCTTTGTCCGGTAATAAGAATATTAGATTTACTGTAGTTGAAAGACATTTTCCATTGTTTTGAGAACTCAGTAGTGATTTGTAAAAGCGTATTGAGGTCTTCTCATTTTCACCAATAAGAACAACATCGTCTGTGCCCAAAAAAGACAGTTAAATGTATTGTTAAATATGTTCACTCCTAAATTCCTATTTTGTAACATTTTACATAATTCATTATTATAAATTGAAAATAAAGTTGGGGAAAGAGAACATCCCTGTTTTACGCCCTCTTCAATGTTAAAGAACTCAGTTTCAATATCACCAAACTTTATTTTACAATTAATATTTTCATATGAGTTTCGTATTATATTAAATAAATTTCCTTTTATACCAATCGCGTTTAGTACTTTCATGAGACCCTCCCTCCAAACCGTATCAAATACCTTTCTGAAATCTAAAAAGGCTAGAAAGGTCTTCTTCCCCTCAGCTTTGCGAGTGGCGATTATACTCTTTAAAGTGAAGATATGGTCTTCACATCGCCTATCTCTACGGAATCCCCCTTGTACCTCAGTTAATAAATCATTGTTTTCAATGAATTCAGATAAAGTTCGGGAAATTATTCTGCTATAAACTTTTGCAACACTGGAGTTCAAAGTTATACCCCTATAGTTGTCTAAGTTATGTCGGTCGCCTTTTTTAAAATATGGGGATGATTGTGCCATTGTTCCAATCATCTGGGATACATTCTAGAAAAGCGAGCCTTTTAAATAGTTTATATAATGAAGTGATCATTACTTGACCTCCATTCTTTATCAATTCATTAGTGATTGTGTCTATGCCTGGGCTTTTGTTGTTCTTACAAAGCGAAATCGCATACCTTATGTCATCTCGTGTAAACGCGAGTTTTTTAAGAGTCGGGTCATTAAATTCTGAGTTATCTTTAAGTTGGTAATTATTATTTGTAAGGGTGTAATCATTTAAGTTCTCATTTTCTGAATTACGTTCGTTTTGCTTAACGTTTTGAAATAGCTGACAAGTGTTGATTTTATCATTGATACGTCTGATGTTACTTTGTCAGTTCCTGGAATCAAAATCGATGTGATATTGTTACTTTGCTTATTCCCTTTCAAAGTTGACCAGAATTCTCGTGACTGGGGTCCACATTTTCCATTATTTTTGAGCATTTATCTACTCGTCTTTTCATAACTTTTTGTCTTATTAAAGTTTTACATTCATTACGTTTTGTTTGGTAATCTTTCCAGAGGATATCACATATACTTTTGTTGAAATCTTTATTGTTTATATTTTTATAATAATGTCTGTGTGTACGACAAGCGTCTTTTCTTTTTTTAATAGCAATTTCAATTTCATTATCAAACCATGGTTTGCTATTAGGTTTGTTTTTATATCCTATAGTATTTTTTAGCGGAGAATAGGACGCGAGATTTCCATGTGTCCCATGCTTCATTAGCACTTAACTGATCAGGGTCCCAGTTATTAAATCTAGAAACAAGATCTTCTTGGAACGGTGTCCAATCTTGATCATGTTTTATATTCCAACAGTAATCAATGGTTTTCACGGTTTGAATTTTGTGTGTTGGTTGAATATCCATTTCGATAGTGATCATATTATGGTCACTGCCTAAGTTGAAAATACCATGGTCATCAGTTAAGAATTCATTTATGTTATCGTAAACATTATTTGACACAAGGCCATAATCTAGTATGCTTTTGTGTTGGTTTTGGAACCAGGTAAATTTACCAGTGCATTTATCACTACAGTTTAGAATAAGTAGATCGCTATCATTACTAAAATCAATAAGGCCTTGGCCGTTATAGTTAGTAGTATCATCACCGTTGGTAATTAAACTACCAATTTTACCATTGAAGTCTCCGAGTATTATAATTTTTGCTTCCTCATTGTTTTGACTGATCTCTATACTCTCTGCTAAGAGGGCAACATACATTTCGTCTGTTAGGTTGTGATCGGTTCCTTCACATGGGAAATAAGTAATGGCTATAAAATAATTTAAATTAGTAAAATTGTTAGTGCCCTTAGGCATAGTGTACATTTGATTGTGGAGTTTCCATTTTTGTCGATTATTATGTCAAATGAGCATTGATCGTCAAGACATGTTATCGTCTTAGTTGTAATTTTTTTACTAGTACTAGTACCACTAGTAGTGGGTTTTGGGGACTGTGCTGCAACAGGCTGTTGTGTTGGATTCATAATGGTGTTGTTGAATGAAATTCATTCACAATTAACTAGTA